GTGAATGTGTCGATGGCCATTAGCTCGATAAGCACATCAATACATCAAAGATGGATGGGTAAAAGAGAAAAAGATGGAGAAATCTATACAACTTTCAAGCAAAGAAACCCAAGAAGAAGGTAACTGATGCAAGAAAATCACTCAAATAAGTCACAAAAAATGCATAAAGGGGCATTAAAGGAAGTATTGTCGTCACAAGATGAGTCAAATGTAATTATCTGTTAGTGGACCTCTTCTCAGATACTTCTATCTTTCACAGTGGGTGGGTTCCTTTGAATCTTTTAGTCTCATGAGTCTTTGTACTGATGCGACTAACGTGTGTTGTAAAAAACACAAAAAACATTCTCTCCGGCTCAACAATAATAACTTTACAGCTGCAGCTATAGTGTCTACTGCTGTAACCATTGGTGATTGCAGTGATAGCTGTTATAATCAAATTTTGTGACCCTCCTTTCTGCTTTTAATGTAGGTAAAACTGACAGGGCGTGCCATGCTATCCCTGCATGCCCCATTGCCCCGGTAAACACAGCTGCGGGCTCCTTATCCATTAAGTGCCTGTTGCCATGGGCGGTGGATCATTCATTTGAAGTGTAGTTTTAGAAAAATAGAGAGACACTGAGGAAGATGCAAGCTGCGTCTTGGTTGGGACGATGAGGTGAGACAGCAGTGCCAGACAAAATGACTTTAAATAATGATCTTCCTTTTCTCTCAGGCATGGCCACTGAATATCTAACTAACAAGCTCATTGAAAGGCCTGACAGGAACTCAGAGAAAAGACGAGTCACACCGGGAACAGGTGGCTGCCCCGTCATTGAATTCCTGCTTGTTTGAATTAAAGGCAATACCTGAGCTATTGGAACACCAGAACTCATTTTCGCTACTTAAGTTTAGGAGTGATGGGTCATAAATCCTGTTTTACATGAATAAAACTGTGTTTTCACTACAACAGCGAGCATAGAGCGAAAGTCCCTCTGACTAGACGACATTCCTGAGATCTGAAAGACTTCTATTGGTGTGGTTTGATTGAGGATTTTTGGGATCATAACTCACATTTAAAGGCTTTTCTATGCCACCAAGCAAGAAATTAAGGGGGGGGGAACACTTCCATGGAAAGTATGCAGCCATGTGAAAGTGTTTAATCACTAAGCTCCTGCGGGCGCAAGCACAGGGCATTTCAACAGGCCATTGTGCCAGGAGCAGGCTGTCAACACAGAGGCAACTGTGGACACACATATGGATCTCTCTCTTACAGTCACACAAACACGCACGCACGCACGCACGCACACACACACACACACACACACACACACACACACACACACACACACACAGTGGACACAAATACCTGTTGCAAGGCTGCATTGAAGAGCCTTGATTCTATTTTACATATATAAAGTCAATGGTTAGTATACATCCTGTCTCCATCCACTTTGAATTAAGCCAGGTTTACGGGACTTCCAATCTCAAGCTTTACAAGCACTGGGACATTCCCAGTTCTCTTAGACAAAATACAGTGTGTCTGCGCTTTAGCTGTAGCCTTTCATAATCCAACTTGTAAAATATCCGTATTTAAAGATAGAGAAGCCTCCTGCTTTTCGGTTTTTACAGATGCATATCAGAGGCAAAAATACTGTGGTAAAAGACAAAAAAAGTTCTGCAAAACCTTTTCAATATGGCTCCTATAGCCACAATAGCTCAAGAAAATCCATCTAACAAACCTTCCCAGGAACTACAAAACACATAAGTTAATTTCAGGGTGCAATACAACATGCTTAATACGCTTTATCCAAAAGAAACCTTTTTTGTATGATACACACATTGTGTATCAGGCTACAATGACTTTCCAGATTGGTGTGTGTGTGTGTGTGTGTGTGTGTGTGTGTGTGTGTGTGTGTGTGTGTGTGTGTGTGTGTGTGTGTGTGTGTGTGTGTGTGTGTGTGTGTGTGTGTGTGTGTGTGTGTGTGTGTGTGTGTGTGTGTGTGTGTGTGTGTGTGTGTGTGTGTGTTTAGGGGACAGATAGAGGCTCGGACTCTTTGATTATGAGGGAGAGAAAGGGCAGTGCAGCTGCTTTCCTCCTAGCAGCATCTCATCTGCTTCATTGGACTGCTCTGTCTGTGTTGAGTTCATGTTTGTTTCAGGCGATAGGAAACATGAATCAAAGCATTCTGAGGTTTGCTCTCTTACTTCCTGCACGCAGAAGAGGAAAGCACTTATACAGCAACAAAATCCTCTCCGGGGACAGAAGAGAGAAGTGAAGGGGAAAGCGAACAGAGCGACGCAGCACTTTGATTCCAGCCCACGGTCGGAAATCCAGAAACTGATAGCTGTATGTACTGAGTTCACACGGGGGCCGGTAAAACTGATATGACGGGGAAGGTTCTGTACACAGCCCAGACTGCATTAACAAATACGGAGGGAGGTCGCAGTCCAAACAAAATAATAGGTATGAGGGAGAGAAGATGATCCTGCCTTTTCTCTGCTGTATAAACATCCCTTATGGGATAGACATAATTGAGTGCGCCCTGCATTTGATAAGGCAGGGATGCCGAGAATTGATTAACACAAGAGATGCATCATTGTCTTCTTCTCTGGACGTCTTATTTGGCCGATGCATTATCCTCACTGGAACATTTTATTAAGTAAGATTAGTTGCAGACAGTCACTGGCCAGAATATAAAAGTGTAGCTTTAGTATATTTTAAAGAACTGAGTATGTTTAACAAACTATAGTTCACAAAAAGAGTTGTCCAACTAGAGTCGCAATGAAAATGTCCCGGACAAGCAAGCCACCCTTTAATCACAGGATTGGCAGTTCTATCTCTGCCTCCTCCTGTCCAAATGTCAAAGATGGTGAACCCTAAGTGCCCCCAGGTCAGCCCTTGCCATATAAGCATGTATGAATTGCAGATTCAAATGTAGTCCTCGCAGTCTATACAGTGTTATTCTTGATGTTTGTAAGTACACATACACTTGACATGCTAGAATAGTGAAACGTTGTTAGGTGTATTTTGGCATTAAACAATTAAAGACTAAACCGTGCTCTGTTGTCTTTTATCTCTCAAGCATTGACACAGGTTGCCAGACTGGTTTAGAAAAACCTTATTTTCCTTGTCTTCGGTGGCCATCATTTCTCTTCACAGAAGCTGGAGGTCTCAAAGGTCAGCCCCTTGACAAATGAAGCAACTCATTGTGAGGAGAAGGGAGGAGGAAAGGAGAATAAAAGAGTGAAAGGACATTTGTTACTGCCAGACCGGGCACGACCTCACCATTTGGTCAAACCCCACGTTTTTTTTAGACTGACGTCCACTTGAGGAAATTCAAAGCTGTGCCGCACGCATAAAGACAGCGGATTGAGAGGCCCACTTACTGCCTCCTCACACACACACAACACACCCCAGCTAGCCTTTCCAGTAATCCCATGGGACCTCAGACCTCCTGAAAGAGTGAGCCTGACACGAGCCTCTGACTCAACCCTAAATATCCCCCTGCACACTCACATGCAAGCAATTCACTGTTGGAGAAAGTAGGGGGCCCCATGACGGGCAGGTGCTGCAGAAACCCCACAGTGTGGTGGCTGTGCGTGCATAAGTGTGTGTGTGTGTGTGTGTGTGTGTGTGTGTGTGTGTGTGTGTGTGTGTGTGTGTGTGTGTGTGTGCGTGCGTGCGTGCGTGCGTGCGTGCGTGCGTGCGTGCGTGCGTGCGTGCGTGCGTGCGTGCGTGCGTGCGTGCGTGCGTGCGTGCGTGCGTGTGTGTGTGTTAGCAGGGAGCCCATTTGCCGTCTGGCAGTCAAACATGCTTCATGCATGATCAGCCGGTCTGTTTCTCTTCTCCTGGGGTTTCTTGGCTTTATTAATGTATGTGTGGTGTGTGTGTGTGTGTGTGTGTGTGTGTGTGTGTGTGTGTGTGTGTGTGTGTGTGTGTGTGTGTGTGTGTGTGTGTGTGTGTGTGTGTGTGTGTGTGTGTGTGTGTGTGTGTTTCCCTTTGTGTATGCATGCCCATGTTTGTTTCTTACAAGATCGGTCTTACTGATGGATCAATGCATCACGGATTATGTATCGCCCCAATTGCATTATCAGGGTCAGTGTCAGCGGACAACACACCCACAGCCTCCAATGTGCTCCCACTCCTCTGATGCTCTCCCCTCAGCAGGAGGTTGGTCTGACAAAGCTGCAGCTTGGTTACATGTTATGCCATAATTATTTTTACCCAGCAGGTAAAGGATTTAAAGCTGCACTAGGCAAGATTCTGAACTAAAAATACATTTGTCTAATCAGCCTAAATCAGCAGAGAGAAGACTGAGCCATCTCCACCAGCTGAGACCTGATAGGTTCACATCATTTAGCCAAATTAAATTCTGGTGCCGGGTATATTTACACACAGAAAGGGAGAACGAATCAACACTAACCAGCATATAAAAACAGCATTGAGTGAGTGGTAGAAGAATTGCTGTATTCAGCAGCATGAGATGCACAACTCAGCAGGCATGGCAAACATGAGCAATATTTGTGAAGTTTGGCATCATGAGTCATGTCCTTTCTGACAGCTATCTCTTGGTGCCAAGGTGCACCATGTCCTAGTGCAGGTTTAAGTCACTTACATTAGTTATAAAGCCAGTGTGACAGCATAATGATGTTGTAAAGGCCATGATACATGGACAGAATCTGTAAAAACCACAGCATCAAAAGTCATTTATAGACGTATTGACCTATTGAACTAGGACTGTTATTACATTAAAAAAGTTACTTTATCCTGTTTCCTGTTCCTACTGATGCCTATGGTGAAATATAGCATTCTGTTCATCTAAAATCTCCCCATGTTTCATGACCTTTAAGCAGGACCATGGAGTGCTTTATCTGGTCAATACATCTGTGTTGGCAAGCTAATAACAGAGTCAAGTCAGGGGTCACCCACAGATCAAACATAGTTGAGACAACACAGCTCCACAATGAGTGAAACATGCATATTGTGAAAGATTCAAGCCGCTGTTGCTTGCAGTACATACCTTGTCAAACAGAGACTTCCATTGCTTAGACATAGAAAGAAAGAGAAAAGTGAAGAAGTAAAGAGATAGGACAAACATCTCAGACACAGGTGCCCAAGTGAAGAGGAGCACCTGTGTTGAAATAATGTTTATAATGTTATTAATGCAATAATTTGCCAAAAGGTCTTCCCTCTATTTCCCTCAATTGCAGTGTTAAAATCACAGACTGCTATCATCCGATCAGTGTGTTCAATGAGTTACACCAAAAGATAATACTATACCAAAGTGTTGATGATAATGTCTAGGGGTTTCTTATACAGTACGCTATTTGAATGTTTGAAACAACTACTAGAGCAAAAGTAATGTGTGTGAGAGCGAAGTATAGTAATATTCATAGAAAGCTACTCACATTTTTCTGTAAAACTAATTTCCTTAAAACCCATATGTTGGATAAAAAAACATCTAAAATGTGTTTTAGGTATATCTTTTAATTTAGCTTGGGATGGATTGTAGCTTAGTCTCCATAACATCAAACGTAATGCCTGAATATTATGCATTGCAAAGGAAAGTGGAGGTCCTGCTGCGTAATTGAAATAGTGAAAATGTGAATCTGTATCAGTGGTCATGTGTGCACTTAGGGTGACTGTGTGTTAGACTTACGTCCTCTTGAGCCACGGGGAGGACGTCAGTGCTTTCCAAAACCTCGATCTCCTCGCCCTCCGCGTTGGACGCCACCGCTGGAGAGGAGTTCACAGGTGCCTCCCGGGTTCCGCCCGTCATCCTCGGGCTGCTCTTCTCCATACACCCGGGGTGAACAGGGAATCAATAATCCTCAGAAATGACTCCACATAGTTTATAATCCGACCTCGTTCCCTATGTTTGTTAACAGCGACAGAAAGCAGAGCATCATGCTCGTTTACGCATCCCTTGGAGTCGGATCTATTTTGGATTTTGGACAGTCAGTTTATTCCAGGTGAAAAGATCAAACGCTCGAAGAGGTGTGCGGTCTCCAGTTTTTTTCCACCTCAAAGATAGCGCTTTAAAAAGTTTATGAGGAATAGTTAGGTAATAGTTCTGGGCTGTGAAGTCTCCTTGCAGTGTCACACCACTGTCCTAGTCAGCAGAGACAGAGGTTTGCAGAGCTGGAGAGGAGCCTGGATTAGATTTGCTCGCCACGGACAGAGGCAGCGGTCCAAGTTTGTTCAAGCGCATTTGCAGAGCGAGTCTTCTCACTTGGAGAGATGCGACGCTGCAGTGACAGAGCGAGGATCCATCTGAAATAAATAATGACATCATCAAACACTGACAACAACATAAAACGTAGGACAGAGTCAGAGATGACAGACAGTGCTGCAAAAGTATCGTATGCCGGTAAGACTTAAACAGCATGGGCGCCTCCGCATGTCTCAAGACTCAAGGGAGAGAAGTCCAAGCAAGTGCCCAATTTTGTGGTGCGTCATGATACCTGGCACGCTGCTCTCTGACGCTCAGCGGCACAGCGCGGGGAAAGCCGTCTGATGAATCTTCAAAGAGGGCGGGGGGGGAACACACCGGCCGTCTGGGGTGGGATGGTTGGTTCCGCTCCGGGAGACGCGGGGACACTGATCCAGCCGCATGCGTCCCTCAGTCCAGGCACAAACAGAGATGCGAAGAGAGGGAGGGGGAGGAGAGAGGGGAGGGAGCGAGAGATTCGGCGGTGAGGAGGGATCACCAGACACTCCCTCTCAGGGGTTTCGAGGAACTCCGGGCTCCCTGTCTGAACAGCTGGCTGTCACTGGCTCAGAGGCTGTGGGTCATGTGTGCATGATGCTGAAATGTTGTATAATTATGGTAATGTCCTACACCTGTCTAAAATGTTACATTGTTACCACATCACAGCTTTTAATAAGGATTTTCTTTGGGTAAATAAATCATTTGTCAGTGCTTTACAGATCAGTAAACGCAATTCAAATTCAAAAGAGGAGTTTTTTTATGTTGGTAAACCATGAATAAAGTGAGATGGCTTTTGGACCTTCTAATGAGATATCATGTTTGTAGTCATAAATGTTAATATGCTAAGTCAACATGGTTTAACGGTCATTAATAAACCCTTTGATTGTAAAAGTTAACGATTTTTTTTGTTGATTTATAGATTTTGGTAAATGGGGGAGGTCTTTGTAACAGATAAAAAAAGGAAAGAGAAAGTGTGAAAGAAGAAAGGGATTAATTCGAATTTAAATGTTTTATGAAGGGTGCATAATAAGACATCTATGAAAGGTAATTCATTACTTTTTTCCCTTTTCATTTCCTCCATGGGGTCCAATTTAAATGCATTCTCCTTTCATGTTATAAATACTAGTTCATCTTGTACCACACAAGCAGCTTTAACAGTGAAATTGCTTAAAGGCTCAGAAAGGAGGGAGTGTCGGAGGTCGTAAATTCCAGGTTGTTTGAGGGAATACAAACTGTCCCCTCCAGTCTGCTGCTACAATCCCCCAAATGATTGGGCCCCATTTCAGACACACACCTACCTATTACCTCCAGAGACATCAAACAAAACTAATAGTTGGGTGGAGGCCATGTATAAGGAGAAAATATGTGACGGTGGTGTTGTATAGTGTAGGTTGATCAGTATCCTTCTAGTGAAACTCCCCCATGTACCATATTATTGCCATGGAAACAATATGGCCAGTTGATATATCTAACCCTGGGGGTCTTTTACTGACTCCTACACAGTGTTGGGTTTAAGTTAAAGAGTCTGGAACTAAAACAAGATGTTCAGAGAACAGCAAACATAATTTTGAGGTTATGTATTTTCATGTGGTCTTTATACGAGGAAAAACAAGTTTTATGGACATTTTGGAAGTACGTCTCTTACTGATAATCATTAAAACACAAAACAATGTGGAGACTGCATTGTTGATCTGTTGCACATGAATTCATAGAATATAAGGACCTAAAGGCATAAAGCTGTTAAGAGATGCAATGTATATCCTATTTGCATAAACGTATGAGTTGAACAACATGGCTATTTCTTTCTTCAATATTTACAGTATGAATATTAATGCTGCAAAATTAAATCAAAATGGATCATTTAGGTCCCACAATTACACAAGTAGATAAATCAATACAAATAAAAAAAAACATGTTGCAATCTCCTTAAAACGTACATTACATGAGTGAAAAGGATATTGTGTTGTTAGCTACAGACACCTTTAAGAATTTCCATTAAAATCAGCTTATTGGACAAAAAGAGCTTCGATGTGGCTGCTTTGGTAATTCATGTGCTAACATCAGCTAAGAGCTGTGACATGAGAGGCAGATGAGGGAAGAGAGTGTGAACAAAAAGGGGCGAAAGAGACAAGATATACAGCAAGGAAAACAGCTGCTATGTGGGAGAACTTAGCTCATGTATAAATGAACAGATGGGGAGTAGCTTTCTGTTCACAGGAGTCTTTAAAGAGCTTTATGTAGGTACTAACTCTTCTAAAAGCTATAGCAATCTCTTCTGTCTAACAACAGCCCGTTACTGATTATTGGCAACATTTGCAATGTTCATTGTGATTTGAAATTTGATGAAAACGTTAATTATCTGAATTTGTTCATTCATTTTTTAATTTTTTTATTTAGCCTTTATTTGAATCTCATTGAGACACAAGGTCTCATTCTCAAGAGAGAACTGTTCAGTGGTAACACCACCACACAAAGTTACAGACAGACAGGACACTAAACACAGAGGCAACAATCAAATCAAACATCGTAAAAAGTAGTCAGATATTGCAGGTGCAAACACCCACAGATGATTTCTCCAGCTTTTTTAAAATGAGTTTAAAATCTGTGATGGGTATCAAACTGGTCAGCTTAAGTTCCTGCTGAAGTGTGTTCCAGGTTGAGGGGGCAGAGTATGATATGGCTTTTTTCCCAAGCACCGTGCGCACTGAGGGGACGGACAGAGTGATGTAATTTTGAGATCGTAGGCTATAGCTGTACTGTTTGTGTGATATGTAAGTGGGTAGAGGGGTGATGGATAAACAGCTACTTTTAGTTTACTATTTCAACTTCTCTGCTTGCAAAATGTCCATGCATCTTCAATTGCAACAGTGCATTTAGGTGTTACAGCTGAAGCAATGTGTGTATCAAATATTGTATAGTCTAATAATGGAAAATGTAGAAGTACCCCCTGACAGAGTGGTTAGGAATCCCTGCTCAAAGGAAAGGCCTTAGTGTCCTCTTTCTATCAAACACCTTTAGACAAACTTTCCTGGAAGTAGTCTTTACTAGCACAGACTTCCTTTTAATGGTTAAATAGGAGTTTTCATGCAGCACAGTGTCTGACTGTCTCACATAATTACAGATACTCATTAGTGAGAAGCAGTGGTGCTTTAAATGTCGTGACAAGGCAGCTGTGCCAGAAAATTCAGCTTCAGATGTCCAAATGTAGTCTATCTCAGAACTATATTTAACAAGATACATTTGGGCTTTCTTCTGTCTCTCAAGTGACCCAGGGTGCTGCTTGATTTAACACACATTTCTGGGTCTGCTTTTCAAAGTTGGTAGCTAAGAGAGTCCTTCTGAAAAATGGTCTCAAAAAGTCAAGGTCAAAACTTTAAGTAAAGCAGATAACCCTGTCTTCAGTTCCTCATGAAGTTAACCATATTCTGCCATGTTGGTCGAACTAAAGCTGCTTCGGATTAATACGCATCTAGCTTGTAAGAAATTACAGTACATGTTTATGAAAAAAAGTTCAAACTGAAGTAAAGTGGGCACCAAAATTGAAGATGTACCAATCTTAATTCTAAAATCACCAAAATTATTCATATCTGTGTGAATAACATGCTTTGAATGCCATCTATTTGAGTCCAAATCATTAGTGGGTGATAGTAGGCTATCAGCTGAATGAACACAGATTTTAAATGTACTATATTTGACCAGAGGCATTCATCTTGAGAGAGAAAGCCTATTTGTTTAAAAGAAAATGGGTTTGAAATCAAAGTCATATCTTTGTAAAACAATAATTAAACAATACAATGATTCTAATTAGAGCCATGGATGTGTTATTCCTGGTGGAGCTCTTCCTAAGAATACGGTACCACTTTACAATAAGACTACCCTTATAAAGGGTTTACGAATAGTTTGTAATTCATTTATTAATCATTTTCCTTTAAGCAATGCTGCCCTCTTGTGTTTCAAATCCAGCAGTCACATATACACATACATGACTGTTCCTTACAATTAGAACTCACTAAATATAACCAGAGGTGGGAAGTAGTGGAGTATAAATACTAGTACTTTACTCCATTACTTATTTTTCTACTTTTACTTCTTACATTTTTAACACAAATACCTGTACTTTCTACTTCTTACATTTTGAAAACAGGTTTGTTACTTTAGTTTTAATCTGCGTTTGTTGGCGTGATCATTATTATTTAGAGTCATTGCGTGCCTATTGATTTCAACACGATCCGTGTGTCCATCATTTCCTGGTCTTCTCTAAAGAAGAGGGACCAATGAAAACGTAGTCATTTTGCCGTTGTTCAGCATTGAAACATTCATTAGCTAACAATGACATTATTGTTCTATTAATATAAAGGGAGGTCAGTTACTCTTTAAAACAGTTGGTAGTTATGGGTACTTTTTACTTAAGTAGCCTACATTTCGAAGCCCATACTTCTTTACTTTTACTTGAGTAAAGAAGTTAAGTCAGTACTTTTACTTTTACCAAAGTATTTTTAATGTACTTCTACTTAAGTAAAGTATGTGTGTACTTTTGCCATCTCTGAATATAACCAACAATCTTCAATTAGGGAATCAGTTCTTAAAAAAAGAACAACATGAAACAAAGGGAAAAGAAAAATGTAAACTATGATGAAACTGAGAATGACATGTATCCTATTCAAATTTCTGGGAAATCAGTTCCTAAAAATTGAACAACTTTGTACAAAACAAAGGCAAGCAAAAAAGCAGAAGAAATTAATGGGAAGCTTGAAGTGCGATGCCGACAGAACTTATCAGAGATACAGGGAGGGTTTTAGAAGGGTAAAAAAAGGACCTTCTGAGTACTACAGCATAGAGTTTGACAAACACCAAAGTACCTTCTTGATCCTATTAAAGTAACACATGATCAGCTATACAGCTGTGCAGAAATATAAAAAATCTTCAATCCTGAAATTGAAAAGAAATGCCATCACACCAGACTTAATAGAGATATTCATTTATTGTAAACATTTGGAAAGGCAGGGCTGAGTATATACACAAACTGAGCTTTGAGGCAAGCAGTTGCTATTGGATGGAAATTTAAAACTGGGGTCACATTTTTGCATTTTCTGCTTAAAGGATACCAGGATTCACAACAGGGTAAAATAACTGTCAAACTTACTATGACTCCATTTATTTCTGTTCAGCACACTGTCAATACAAGTTACTATAGCTGGAGAATTGGGAGATGGAAAGCAAAGCAGAGAGGTTGAAAAGGGAATTATTTTATACAGTAAGTCTTAAAACTCTGGAATGTGGTTGGAATTTTGAAGCATGCAAAACCAAAAAGTATGGAGTTGCTAACACACACACACACACGAGCTGTCAAATATAGTGACCAAATTGGGAAGACATTAGAGAGCGGCAGACCCTTCAATAACATCGCACAAATCAAACACTGCCCTACTCCGATGTGTAAACAATACAAAAGTTAGAATCCAAGAACTCTGCCTTTAAAGGGCAAACTATTAATATCAATGCTAATATTTTTGTAAGTTTATAAGCTGATTATTAAGCTAATATCTTTGCATTTAGTGTTATGAGTGTAAATCAGACATGGCCCTTTTAAAAGACAAACAAATGTACAGTCTATATTATTTACACTATTTACATATAGTTCAATCTAATAAAAGCATCAATGTTAATGCAAATCTCACACATCACAATCCTCATCACAACTGACACCAAATTGTTCATTTCAATCATCAAGCAACGAAAATATAGCTTTATAGGCAACTCACCCCCGTTACTCACTACGGCTCATCAGCAGCTTAACCTTCATTTATTTATATAAATATAGTTATTGAGTTGCAAAAACTTGCAAACAAACAGATTAAGCAAATAAGGATTTCTTTTGTAAAAAATTAAATATTGTTTCTTTCTGTTCCCCAGATGAGAAAGGTACAGTGGAATGAGGATGCAAAAAAAATATCTTTGCTAAGATAAGCTTTCTCTTTACGGTGAAAACAAAACCATGACACATTTTATTATATTTGCATTGACTTAATACAAGCTTAAAGTTGTGACTGGTAAAAACAGTTCTGTGTGTACCATGGGGATAAAGAGGGTTACACCCGGATACCCTTAGATCACCGCTGTTTGAGCAGCACTCTGTACATGGCGAAGCCCAGCACCGCAAACACTGTGGCCCCGACGCTCGTTCGCAGCCAGAAGGTGGAGCTCTTCAAATCTGCTTTGCTTACATGTCTGTTAAACAAAGATAAAACCAAAGAAAGATCATTAAAGAGGTTGGAAAAAAGGAAGGACACTAAAGAATGAAAAATGTTAAATAGACGAGGTGTCGCTGGGAAGGATGATGTGAAAATAAAAAGGTATTAACCATAAGAAAATATGGATGAAATAACAGGGATGAACCCTTGAAACATGGATATATATGTAGAAGAGAAAGGCAGTCAAAATTGTGAGGGACGTTAGGGATTATTGTTATGACATGAGATAACAAGACAAGGAATTAGCTATGACAGCTCTGTTAAATGAGGCGGTTGAGGCACAGTGACATGAGAAGACAACAATGAGCAGCTGACACCAACTGAATGACGAAAGAGACTGAGATCAAAATTGAAAAGTACACAGTTTCAATCCTACTGTGGAACAGGAAGCTTACAAGCAATATCAAAAAAGGTAGACACAAATAAAGATAATAGAATGGTTTTTGAGATGGACTCAAAGGACTCTGACAGCATGAAACAAGGAGAAAAGACAAATGTAAACTATGATGTAGAAACTGAGAATGACATGTATCCTATTCAAATTTCTGGGAAATCAGTTCCTAAAAATAGAACAACTTTGTAAAAAACAAAAAAGCAGAAGAACTGAATGGGAAGCTTGAGGTGCGATGCCGAGAAATAACTTATCAGAGATACAGGGAGGGTTTTAAAATAGGTAAACAAAAGGACCTTCTGAGTACAACAGCGTAGAGTTTGGCCCTGACCGTCTGCAGCAGCTCAGAGTTGAGGAAGTTCTGACACAAGCAGAAGGTGCACCGGTTACAAGTGCACATGCAGCGCAGCCGGGCGTGGCTGAGGAGAGATTTGAGGAAGACAAACACCAACCAACAGATTATATATTAAACACACCAGAGAGAGAAAGAAACAAAGAGTTAAAAGATACCACCACCATGCAGTAAGTAGTTTGAGGCTCATTGCCTGAGAGACAGAATCTATGGTCGACAATAAAAAAACCTTCTCAAATAAGATCCTGTCGATGAGATGCAATCATTATTGAATTAGTTTCGATGAACTAAATGCAATATTTTCTGTGAATTCAGAAAGTAAAGTTCTCCCAACAAAACTACACATTTAGTTTGAAGTACATCTGCAAAGATTAAATAAATATTACATTCATTTTTTATGAACAAAAGTCAAAATTATCTGATTTTAGCATCTTAACTGTGAATATGTTCTGGTTTATTACCTCCTCTATTACAGTAAACAGAATATCTTTGAGCTATGGAAAAAACAAGGCATTTAAAGGAATCATCTTTAAACTAATCAAGAGAAATTAATTGTTAGCTAAAATATATTCTGAATCTTATCATAGTAATCTATTTTGTTGTGGATGTAATAATAGCTGGTCTGTGTAGTTCTGTAACTGTGATGTGCAGAGAGGCGCTGTGTGTTGACAGCGGACTGCAGGCTCGCTGACTGACTGCAGGAGTGTGATCCTCTGGGAGAGATCAGCATCACCACTCAGCAGGGAAACACATTAACACACAGAGCAAAACACTGTGGTTTCAGATTTGAAAGCAACACGCCCAGAGGGCAGTGAAATGCATTAATATAGTCTGAGGTACATCATGTCTGATAAGGACTGAGTGTGGTAGCATCCCCACAAGAAGCAGGTTTATCCTGAGGCCTGGAGTCAAGTCCTAGAAATGACACACAGTGCAGAGAGCTTTGTATTTAAAAAACAACCCATCTGTCCCCACCTGCTTCATGCAGGACTTCCTACCAATTTTGATACAACTGCAGGAATTTATTTCACAGCGTACAGGAAATACATATTCAAACTTTATATCAAATAAAACCCCTGTCTGTTTAACTGGAGCAAACAAGCACCAGTGACTGAGGTTCCTCACCACCTCAGGCCATTATTCAGAGGATCTTTAGCTCAGGATATAAAGCACTAATTGGCCAGTGCAATTTGCTATAGACCCAGGAGGATGTATTAATGTATCATGTTAAAATATCTTCCAGCACCTTATTTAGAAAACACAGGCCTTCAGTAATCTTTTGAATAAGCGATACGATGGTTAATGAAGTTAACAATCAGAAATTCTCTTTTTTTCATTATTGGGAACACAATTTAAAGTCTTCTCTTGGTGAGGGACGATGTGTTCAATCATATCCAAACATCACTGTTCTTCATGAACTGGTGTGATAACCAACAAGAAACACAATATTAAAGGCATGTTAGCTTCATACACTGAGTTGCCAGTTTGTTAGGTATACCTAGATAATGCTGTAAAACACAACAGTCCTGCGATCAATCATATCTTCATGAAGGTTTTGTTAATCCGTTCTGCTAAAAAAAAATATTTATATCAAAAAAGGTAGCGTAAATAACAGAAACTGTTTAAGGGTAGGATTTATTGGAGGATTATTTTATTAATCAGCATGAGCTTTAGCTAGAGGCATAGAAAGGACTGTATATCTTGCTATGGCTTTCCTCCTAATAATAAAATAAGTTTTCCTAGAGTGCAACAATTACAAATCTAGAGTGTGTTTCTTCCATACTTACGGGTACATGGCCATGGTGGTAAGTTTGGTGTAGATGTCTTTGCTGGGCACTGCTGCAGAGTTACAGGTGAAGGACTGGGGAGGGGGCATCTTGTGCTTCCTGCAGAAGTCCAGAGGAGTGCAGCCGTAAATCTGTTTGATCTCCGGCAGGTCGGACTTCGCTGCTATCATCATACATGGAATCTTGCTGTCCATGAAGTATTGCTGAGGAGGAAAAGGAAACAAATTCACATTCACAGACAAGGGGGCCAAAATCATTGAGGGTTTTTCTTATGTATTGTATCCAAATCTTTAAAAGGTCACCTATTATGCAAAATCCACTTTTTCACGTCTTTTATACATAACCATGTGTCCCCTCTGTGCAAAGAGATTCTGAAAGTTTCAGGGAAAAAGATACGCTCACTTTTTGTCCTGATCCATTTATATAAAAACCTGTCTGAAAATGAGCCGATCAGATTTTGGCCACTTTATGATGTCATAACGATTTTTTGGGCTTGTGTAACCATTAGCCAATCACCAACCAAGGTAACCCCCCCGCCACCTTATCACCTGCATCTCCACCTAGAGCACCATGGTGTTCTTTTTTTACCAAATATCTCGCAAATATATATTTCATCTAAAGTAAAAGACACAGAATCAGCACTTTTGGAACAGGGCTGAAACAGAGGGGATTATGGGATGCTACAATGTATGATCTGTTTGGTATTTCGAGCCAAACACTTCAGAGACATGTTTTGTATATATCTGAGACCTATAATATATTGATGAAAAACAGTATAATAGGAGACCTTTAAACATTGTGGGTAAAGAACGCAGAAAATTGCTGTGAAAACATGATGTCATTTTCTTTTTACCCTGTTGTGGGTTCAAGATGTCATTTGACTGAGATAATGCGCACATATACCTTGAAGACTTTGGCGCAGTATTCAAAGGAGTAAGGGTTGCTGGCATCATAGACCAGGCAGACAATGTCACAGGCCAGGTCATCATCAGACAGGTAGTCAAAGTCAGGGAAAACTTCATGAAGCTGAGAGGAGATAGAAGAAGAAAGAGAGTTACAAGAACATTGCAACAACAATAGTCACATGCTAGATGGATGGATAAATGGATGATGGAAATGAATGCACTTCATTTCTGCGGGAATCACTCTAATTCAGCAATCAAATTTGAGAGTGCATATGTTTTGACCAAAAGGTAGCAACGTTACTTTATTTCAAATATTGTGATATAATTGCTATCTATGAAACTATGGGAATATTCTGCTCCTTCACAATCACATGTTAGTAGCAACCTCTCAGTAATGCATTGCCACACAGGAAGCTTTGCATGTGCTGATTCAAGTAAGTACTGCAATTTACATCCTTTTTTGAGCAGGTACAAATGCTTGCTTAACAAAAGAATTGCGTGAACATAACAAGTACAGCCCAGATAGTGTTGCACTAAGTCCAAATTGCAACAAAAAAATGATAATAAATCAAGTAGTATTAAAGGTTTCTTTGATACTCACAAGCAGGTATTTCTCCTGGCCGTAAACATAGGTTGTGCTGATGGCATAGTAGGACCTTTGTTCCTTATTAATGGTGTTTTGGCGCTGAAAGAAAAGAAGGGAGGGAACATCATAAAAACTAGATCAGGACATGAAACTGTCTGTAAACTATTATTTAGCAACTGGGAAATGTTTTTCTCGTATCACCTCACATATATACAAGAGAGGGTTATGTGTTATGATAGTATACAACAGTTATGTCTTTTTCTTTCTGTTGTACCAGCAGAGGGCGCTTGTTTGCCACTGGTGCATAATACATTAGACTTGAAGCAAACTAACAACGTCTCTGTTTCCTTGTCTGATATTTTCCCCATATTAGGGGCATTACACATGTACCTTTTAAAGTTCTTAACAAATAATCTGAGGGGAATTCCTTGTTGTTTGTTTTTAACTTGTGATGTGTCATTTTGTAAAGCACTTTGAGCAGCACGTGTTGTATGAAAAGTGCTATATAAATAAAGCTTTATTATTATTATTACTTATTTGTGCAGTGTGTTGCAAAGGGTTTAATGCTTGTGAAAAGGTAAAACCAACATTGTTTGTTTAAATCTGGGACATTGTGAAATATATGTGAGGAAGGGATAAAAGGGATAGTATGCATTAAAATATGTCATTATTACTGGTATGTAAATCTGTTTACCATGAGGTTTCGACCCAGGAAGGCTTGCAGGAAGCCGCTTTTGCCGCTGCCAACGTCTCCAAAGACATTACAGCGGAAGACGCTGCGCTGGGTCTGCTTCTTCTGCAGGTCAATCTTCTTATCTCTGGTCACTGCAGGGGGGGAAACACACACACACACGTTGTTCAGACTGCTGTTATTCACAACACATGCCTTCAGACAGTTAGATTGAACAGCTGCTTCAAATGTCCAAAGGTGTTGATTTACTGATGAGATTACTCACAGCATGACTATCTGAAAATAGTTAATTGACGTGTAAAGCAATTACCCAATTGATTTATGGCCCTGAATAACAATCATGGATTAGACAGGTTTACAAATTACAATTTTAAACAAATATGGAAAAGAAGATGTGATGGTGTAATCCACCTGTTACTCCTGCTGCTTGGGACTCCTGCTCAGCAACTATTGAGTAACCAAGGTAACCCATATACTCCAGGCATCGTTGGACATCAAGATATGTTGTTAACCTGAACAAATGTAAGTTGAAATAGATTTAATGGAAGATTTATTAAGTATAGAAACAAACGTGACTGAGATATTGTGTTTTATAAAAATAAATATGTACAGTGATTTTGATACTGCCCATTATACAAACATACAGGCTTTAACGGAAATGAACACCACTTACGTCCACTGGGAGAGATATCCCTGGTAGGTGATCCAGCCCTGGTCGTTAGTGCAAACTGTGTTATGGACATCTGGACCCCAAGGCATGTAGGGAAACACATCAAACAGGTCCTTCATCTCCTCTGGTGACAAGGCACAGTCACGGTCCTGATGGAAGGAGAAGTTGGTTATAGGCTGGGAAACTACAGCAAAATATGCAGAATATGCCTGAATCTGAACTAACTCTTTAAAACACCAAAGTTAAAATCACTGTTTTTGTAAAAGCAGTATAGTGGCTTTAAAGACAGTGTAGAGAGGGGATTCAGTTCTAGGGATGCCAGCGATTATTCGATTATTCGTTACAGTCTCCATAATCGAATATTATTTTTAAAAATCGATTTTATTAATATATTTTTTTATTAATATTTATGTTTTTCTTTTTTTTTCCTGGTTTGGTTTCAACCAAAATATAGACTAATGCTAATAATAGTAATAGTATTAATAATTGTAAATGACCATTGATCACACCACCAGTTTGTTTTACTGTAAACTTGGAGGAAGTCAGCAGCGCAGAGTGCTGCAGCCTGCTACACACCGACCCCGCCCCTCCCCTCTCCGTCGTGGAAGGAGGCGGTTTCCTTGAGTTTATGGCAAACGTGGAACCAGATTACAGGGTCCCGGGCCGTACTCTTATCAACTGTCTCAAAGGTGTCGATAACCACCGACGGGTGGACGGCACTCACAACTGAATCCTATGTTACCATAACCTGACATTATATCGATAGTGAATGGGAGATGAAGAGTGCGGTTAATTTAGCTGAGAGGCTCCGCAGTGCTCTGTGCCCTCGGAAAGGGTTTTTTCGGCGGCAGGACTAATCCTTAACCGGCTGCGCTCTCGCCTACACCCATACATACACACATAAAGTAGGCTATTTATTTAATTTATTTCAATTATGCTATTATTAATACTGTTAATACTGAAGAGCTCTTTTGTACCATGTACACGTTCCAGTAAAAGAAAACAACGGAATACCATTTGTCAGTGTTTTTTTTTTCCTCCTCCCCGGGGGGGGGGGGGGGGGCGATTAATCGATTAATATTCGCCAGGGCTGTCCGATCTTCGATTTTGGTCATGGTCAGTTTCTGGCATCCCTATTCAGTTCCCTGTCAGAAGTGTCTCTGACAGCACGGAAAAGGTGTTAAAATAATTTAAATATAGCCTACACCTTTTTCTCATCATCTAAAATACATTTTACTGATGTGTCCATCCAGATCTGTACACTGCTTTGCTCCTGTCTGTTTATTCAAACCTTGGGCCTGCTGACAGCCATCAATAACTTGAAGGCAGGAAATGTTTAAAATTGGAAAATATGGGATCAACCGAGTCAGTTGTAACTGAGAAAAACAAACATGACCGAAGCCCACATTCACAGTTTGACATTTGACACAGTGACAGAAAGCAGATTATGGCACAATCAGTCAATTTCCCTCTTTGACTTTCTAACCTCGCGGCTAATTCTGCCGTCAATCCCTCCTCAGTGACAACATGTTCAATCCCTCCTCAGTGACAACATGTTAAATCTCGCCTCAGCGACAACATGTTAAATCTCGCCTCAGCAGGTGGTCAGCGCTGGCTATGGGAGGGTATTTTGGTTTGGTGCAGTGTACCGTACTGAGCAGCTTTCTGTAAAAGCCTCTCCAGGGCAGAGGGTGAAGTAAATGCAGAACCAGGTTTACAGGATTGTACCTTGTCATGTTTGTCAAAGACGCTCTGGAGAAAGAGGTAGGCGTTGTGGTTGAGCTCCGTGGTGCAGTCTGGAGGAAGTTTCAACCTACAAACAGTAAAATATTAAAGCAAATTGTACGGTCAATGAGCAGAACCCAAAACAAACACAGTTTCTACAAACGATTAAACGAGAGGATACATATTATATACAGTTGCCTATTCAAAGTTCTTTAGCAGTTCTCTCTTGGCAAATCTAATAAGGGCACAGAATGGCTTTTCTTTTTAACAAGGCATGTCCACAGGGTTGGTGGTGGGTGACTAAGAAATTAAGCCTGAGACTCACGGGGGGAAGAGGTAGTCTTGATTTAACTCCAGGTCATCGTCGTAACCAAACCTCCTCAGCACGGTCCACGTAGTTTCATGGCGCCCCCTCTGGATGAACAGAGTGTGGAGGAAGAGGAAGCCTGGAGAGGAATATCACAATAAACATCAAACAACACTCAGAAACAATTTGTAAACATGATATTGAGGCCATTCCATTTATTCCTACCTTTCAGGGTGAGTCCGTTGTCTCGCACTCCTTCACTCAAATTCTTCCTGACCACATTTTTTACATCCTCCAACGCCTGGGACTCCAGTGGGATGTTGAAGCTTGTCCTCTGAAGGATCAGACAAAAACATGATTGTTGTTAAAGGGAGACAAAACAGGTCCTGTGCAAATTGTGATAAACCTACTAACCTTTGTACAGCAGTGATCTGTGGACTTACCTGGAAGAAGTTGAGCTCGTTATCATTGAGAATCCCATCATTATCCAGGTCAGACACTTTAAAGATTCGAGTCAGGGCTTTGACACACAGTAACTTCATCTGGGAATCAAAAAGGCGAATCAAAAGTTACTTCAACAGAATCCTTTTGTAGTTCCCCTTTTGCTTAAATTCAGTTTAAAACCCACAATGACCTTCCATTTTTAGTCTGTGTGCTTAAAACCGCTACAACATTCTGCATTACATAGCTCTGTAAAATCTGAATTCATTGAAGATTCTTTATTGATGTAAAACAAGCTGACAGTGGTGCAGAATTCACACAGCATATTTCTGCTCTTACATTTTTCTTCTCCGGGCAGTAAAGAGGACCTGTGGGGTGCAGAACGGCCTTTTGGGCGTAGTAGAACAGCTCTGAGATGTTCTTCAGGTTCTTTGCTGAACACTTTGAACAAAACAAGAAATGGGAGAAGGGAGTTTGGTTGTACTTTATACATACTATCATATATACTCTGATTTACTTTTTAATTTACTTTGCAACCCTGTCAATATATAGTGTTATGACAAAGAAGGGCTATCCCTATACACATACCAGTCTGTGTTTGTGTGTACATGACTGTGTTACTGTACATGTGTTTGTGGGAGCTAAGTCGGTGCCAGACAAGGTGTTAACACACAGGATCAGTCTGAGCTACATGCCTGGTTTAATTAACACCGAGTTAACCTCAAGGTGTCAAGTATCAAATCCTCTTGGCTTCCTCGTTGTAAACACTTGATATAGTAAATGTGCAAAACACTGCGTCCATCATGGTGACTATAAAAAAGGGCAGGAATCACAATCAATTATTTTATTTTACTTTCTGTGTCTTTGTATGCACCACACATACCAAAAGCAAATTCTTGGGCTACAATAAAAGCAATTCTGATAATATTTACAAAAGGGTCGATCGACAAGATTATTTATCGGCTGAATACTTTCCCATTTCGGCTTTTCAACCGTTTAAAAATCGCATAACTAACAATTGACATATTGTGTGGGAGAAGCAAATGTTCAGTGGTTGATAGAGAGGATCATAAACATTAAACATAAGAAAAGGTTGTAAAGGGCTTTACTTAGATGTCACTGTAGAAATGACAGAAAATATTTTATATTATCTGTAGATATTCTCTTTCCATTCATTTATAAAGATAGTAATGTTTCTACATCAACTTAAGTGTTTAAAACGGGCTGAAGAAACCTGAAAAGCACTGCCAGTAAACAAAAACATGTCAACAGCCAACCGATGGTTATTATTGAATACAAACCTCTTCCCCACTTTATGTTCTGCTTAATGACTATATTATTGATTTCCATTTGTGTTTACATCCCTTTTGACTTTGTGTACTGAGCAAAATATGTGTCTGCCTGATGTCTGAATCAATAGCATTGCTACTGCATTTATTGAATGTGGAAGCATTTATCATCAGGTAAATCTGAACAGATGAGTATTATCACAGCATTTACTTTACGGTGTTACTATTCAGAAACAGTGGGAGCAGTAAAAAGGGCGGTTTACTCTCTCACCTCGACACAAGTCTCTATCTCACTGTGCCGGTTCATGATGGGCAGAATGGTCTCCATGCTGCTGTGCTCCACCAGGTCCGACTTGTTCCCCACCAGAATCAGAGGAACCCTGGACACAACACACACGTACACATTGCAAAGTATTCGTACAACTAAAAACTTAAACATATAAAATGTGGTTTTATAGAAAAGTACTTTTGTATTTTCTCTCTCAGTAAAGCAGCGACTCATTCCACAGTGAAAACCTCTAAATAGAGGGCAATTAAAGCAACATCTGCTCATGTGAAATGCTGTATTACTCAAGCTCTCAGCTTACATAGAAACATTTGTGAGAAATGTTCCACCCCGTTACTGTAGGTCATTGCTTCAATCACAAGTTGTTTTTCATGACTGGCCTCTTGCTACAGGAAATGGTCCTTCACATAATTCCCCCCGTAATAATTGCCCAAAACTGAGCTAACACAGAAAACTCTGAACTATTTTTATAAAAGTTCCAACCTGCTATCCTTGTCTGTGTTATCATTGATGAGGGGGAGCCAGTGGCTGGTGACCTATGGAAAACAAAAATAGATAAAACTGTAAAAAATCATCACCATTATGATGGACAAATTAAGGAGTGACACATGAGTCAACAGCTTCACAAATGTTACTATTAACTGTAATACAAACCAATTATGGAAATGCTAGCAGCCACAGAGGTAGCTCACCTTTTCGATGGAAGTCTTGTTGTTGACAGAGTAGACAATGCAAATTACATTTGCCTATGAGAGAGATCAACACAGACACCCATTAGGCTTAGAATCAGCACTTCTCTCCAGGTTAACAGGAAAGCATAATGTGTGGACTGACCTTGGAGATCTCCTGAAACAACTGCTCATCCGTCTGCTCTGCCTCTGTAGAAGGAAGACATGTGCAGTGTGAAGTAAAGTATTCTTCTTTTTCAAAATGTTAGGCTAAAAAAGGTGACTAAAGGAGTTTGCATATTTATGATTTCACAACAAAGGTCACCACAATTTAATGAAGTGTCTGGGGCAGTTCATGTCTACTCATGTACCTGAATAGTCCACAATATGTGTAGGAACTCTCTCTGGTGTGACATCTGCAGGTATGGTGATTTCCTCAGCTCGGTAAGGAACCTAGGAACACAAAATAGTGATCACTTACACAGACATCTGTATAACCAGGTAAAAGGCTTTAACTAGTAGCAACAATAAGACTTTCGCAAATTACAGCCCGACCTTGTAATGTTAAGAAAGTAACCATACGATTAAGTTTCATTAACATCTGGCCAGTAGTTTTTAATGTAATCATGCTGAGAAAAAACAAAATGAACCAGATAATCAGGTAAAATTAATGGTGTTAAACTCAACCCAAGGGAATTGTTGATTAAGTTCAAGGTGGAGAGGCATCTTCAAGGATATATACAAAATCTGATAATAATAATTTATACATACCACAGTTGGGAATTCCTCGCTGACCAGGGACATAATGAGAGACGTCTTCCCCACTTTGGCTGTCAAGGGAAGAAGAAAAGAGTTATAGTTGAGACAGATTATTCGGTAGCTCTTGTCATTTTGACATTGTCAATGTGAACTTATTATAAATGTTGTAGCTGTGGGAGCTTAATTTATTAATTTAACACGAGAATAAGCTTAACAATTGAACTCAACAAGCTTTCTGGGCCATGTGACTCAGACACAGAATGCCTCATTGTGGAAATCACAAACACCACAGGGCAATTGTTTATAGATGTAAACGTGATTTGCAGCTTTCATGCTGGATTTGTTTCAAAAAGACTTAACCTTTAATACAATGAAAACAATATTTCTAACAGCACAATTCCCAAAATAGCTGGGCTTCCTGTGAAAGAAAATACCCACAGAGGGAAGAAGGAGGAAATATGGAAAATATAATTCACTCTCTGATGTTGACTTCCATTTAAAACCATGATGTTTAATGAATTAAATACCTAGACAAAAAACGATTTTACACAGCACACATTACCAAGCTAGATTTTCAAAGTGACTTCTTACACTTTTAAAATATGATTTATTTCTTAAGCTTTGCTATTAAAAAGAGGAGTATCTCTGCATATACCATATGATTTCAAAGTTATATTTAATAAAACAATGGACAGTCAGCTTGCAATAGTAAAGCATAGGTCAAGATATAAATATAAAGTCAGCAAGCTGTGTTTAGCTTAGCTGGCAGTTAGCTGTGTAATGGGGAGAAAAACTACGACTGTTTTTAAAAAGCTTTATCAATGGAGGGTTTTCTACGAGTGTCCTGGATATGACATGCAGCAATACCACTAAATTACATACAATTTAAAGCAAAACAGCACACAACATCAGTATGATCGTGATGGTTAGTGTCAGTCAGCAGCATCACAAGTCCAGCTGGTAGCATCAGGGCAAAGTCACTACTAAAGGCTGACGCTGCAGACCGCAGATCAACACACTGTGATGTGAATGTATGCTTTACTTACGCTCTCCCACCAACAATATCCTCACGTCCTTGCGCATCTTGTTCGGCGTCGGTAAACTGTCTTGTATGAAACATCTATGCTCCTGTCTCGATGAAGGATACAATCAGCCAGCTCTCGTCGGCCTGGCTCGCTTGCTAACGGAGCTACGTTTGCATGACAGCTCCGGTTTACGCTGGTTCAGAAACACACGGTTCACCGTAACGTGATGAATCTGTGCAAACCAGTAGGTCTCTGAGTTACTAACAAGGTGTTTTTACTATATCCCCTCTGCTAGGGTCAGTAAGCCCTGCAGCTGCGGTCTTCAGCCAGCTAATCTTTAAACAAGTTGCGAGTGCTAGCAGTAAGCGTGCATTCAGTAACGCCCCTTCTGGCTGCGAGCAAAGATCGTATATTGAGAATCACCTAAAACCCGCCCATCCACTCGGTACGCAAGAGAGAATATTTTTGCAGTGAGTTAGTCAGAAAGGTGTATGGAAGCCCATTCATGTTAATACAAAAATATGGTCAAAAAATTAAAAAAAACACATCCTGTAAGTGATAATAAAAATAAACTTAAAAAAATCTAAACAATAACAAACTTTCATTACAGAAAAATTATTTGTGTGTAGGCTATATTTAAAATAAGTATAAGATGTACACAAATATAATATATAGGCCCATTCATTCATTATTTTAAGTCATAACTACACAATGTATAAATAATTTCTTTATCTGTAAAGAAACATGCAATTCCAGTTGTCTGATAATTCTAGCAAATGTACTTCCGAAATGTTAGATGTGGCAAAATACATGCACTTAAGTTAGCTATTTCCCAACGCTGCTTGCTTAAAATACAGAGATCTCAATGTGTTTATCTCTTCGGTGGCTGGTTAACTATTTTTTATTTATTTTTTAACATTTTTTGTCCCCTGAAAATGGCCTGGAGTGAGAGATCTTAATTCTTTCCACAGCTCGACAGCGCTTGTCAACTGTTGTCAGCCAATACTGGCCCCAGGCTATAACAACAACAGAAACCAGAAGTTTAGTACACATTTATTTAGACATTTGCAACATGTTAGCATAGTATAAACAGTAATAAGAGAGGCATTAAAACCAAAATCTTGCACTTAGCTGGTATACCTTTCAATGAAATTATGGCATCCAGGTAATTGTCCATGCCTCAAATAATACATTACTTATGATACATCATTACTGTACAGTGTTTATTTGTTGATGAATAACAAAAGAAACAACTGTTGCCCTAAAGTTGGTGAACATTAAAAGCAGGATTACATTATTTATTCAATTTAATATAGTTTGAAGCTTTATTGACAGCTAAAATTAATGTGTGTAAAAAAGACTTTTTCCTAATGTGCAAATTGAGTGAAATAAAAAAAACATTTAAAAACTACAGAACAATTGCAAATTATACATACAATGTAAAAAATGTTTATTATTCTCCCCATATATTCATTAATAAATATAATATTAGTTTTGAGTGCATTAATAATGTATTGAAAATACTTCTGTGATGTCAATGTGGCCACAGCAATGTAAGGAATTCAGGCTAATGATGTGCAGCAACATCCCAGCTGACAGTAACTTCTCCAAGGTCTCCATGGTGTCATCAGACACTGTAGTCTGTACAAAATGTTGGAGCTGGTCATTTATTTGTCAGTGGTGTTAACCATTGTTGCCAGTAAATAAGAGAGTTTTTCACATCGACAGGTTTAGGAGTATCTTTTGGAACTAGATGCTTTCAGTCTGTTAGGTCCCAATACAATAATTAAGGATCCTAAACTCATGCAAACCAACAAGTAGAGCTGATCAAGTCATTTTCCTCTCCTCATGTTGGCTTCATCTGCATCAAAGAGAGAAAGAAGAGAGGAGTTACGACTCACAGATGAAGATACTCGAACACATCACCTGCGCTGTATCATCTGTAACAACACAGTATCTTACTAGCGTAGTCCTCTGGGGTCATGGGTTGGGAGATGATCTTCCTGAAGGCCTCCAGCCACTCCTTCTGCTCCTGATGCTGCTCACACATAAAAACATACTGCCTGTCCGGAGTTTGCAACATGATGCCACAGTTCCACCGGCCGCCCCTCGAACTCCGCCCGCTGCTCTCTGAAGCAGAGTAGCTGTGGCTCTCCGTGCCGATGAAGACAGCACCCAGCTCTGTTGCATCCTAACGGGGAAAACATAAAGCAAAAAGAAGAGCATAATAGGCTACCATATCCAAAATTAAGCAAATTATAACAGATTATTGAATAAAAGTATAGATATTTATAAATGACATTTTTTATGGAGGAACTTTATACAAACGTTGTGACACATGTGGTATTATCTGTTAATTACCAGGGGATTTTTAGAATACAGAAGTTTCCTGTTCATGGAGCACAGTGTGAACCACCTCTTCTTGAATGGCTCCCGATGCTGAAAAAACACGAACAAGAACAAACAGCCACACAGACAAAGGAGATATAGGAATAGAGAGAGAGAGAGTGAGAGAGGGGGGGACTCAAATTTCAGACATAACAAATGTAAATAATTTAACTTAATTTTGTAATCAACTCAGATAGTTGACAAACCGTCGGCCCAGTTTTCTCCATGTACCCCTCCTTCAGGCAATATCTTGTTAACTGGGGTATTAACTGTGAAAGAGACACAGGCAACACCGTTAACTGAACAAAAGTTGCAGTTCAACACAATTTATCTGAGCTTAATTTCATTAAAAATCTTTCTCACATCATTATCTCGAAGAGTTGGGTGTTTCCTCTGCAAGTAGGCCAAGCGTGTTGCCCGAATAGCGTTGAACAAGGACACAATCACCTATAAGGCATAATATATAGGACAGTTTAATATAATTTCGGTTAAAAAAAAGAAAAATCTTTAGCTGATCAGCTGTATTCAACCAAACAAACATACAGTATAACACAGCTGCAATTTAACATATGGCAGGAAAATATGGGCTCAGAACAGTCTCATAATACACACATGCACACAGAAGGATTCACACTTGTATTTCATGATCCGCAAAAGGATTCACACTTGTATTTCCGGATCCACACTTGTGTTTGTCAATGCACACACAAATGTGTTCCGTTTCATATACATGTAAATAAAATCCAAATACAGAAAAAAGTTTTACATATGTATTTTTGATCCTCACATATTTGTTTTCCATTTAAAACCGCTGAACCTGCAAACACAAACCGCTTTCTGTGCATGGATCGCTGTGCATTCGTGTGTGGGTTTTTTGAGACTCCCCTTATGGGCTCAGAACAGTCTCATAATACACACATGCACACAGAAGGATTCACACTTGTATTTCATGATCCGCAAAAGGATTCACACTTGTATTTCATGATCCGCAAAAGGATTCACACTTGTATTTCCGGATCCACACTTGTGTTTTTCAATGCACACACAAATGTGTTCCGTTTCATATACATGTAAATAAAATCCAAATACAGAAAAAAGTTTTACATATGTATTTTTGATCCTCACATATTTGTTTTCCGTTTAAATCCCCTGAACCTGCAAACACAAACCGCTTTCTGTGCATGGATCGCTGTGCATTCGTGTGTGGGTTTTTTGAGACTCCCCTGACGGTGACCCGATTCGTACTTGTAATTTTTTCTATCTATAGCCAATCAGATGTCTCCTCAATTCTAAGCCAATCACATGAGCGCGTCCCCACGAGGGTATGATTTATTGCGTTCATGACACTTCATATATGCATTTTATATACCTGAGTAAACTGCAGGACAGTGAAGCGAGGATCACCCCAGGAAAATCTGAGGGCAGAGTCCTTCTGGAAATACAAGAGGACTCACTGGCCAACTTCATTGATCTTCTAAGAGAAAGACAGGAAGTCACCAAATGCTACCCTGAGAAAGAAGAGATGCAGAAAGAGATTGGTGGCCTGAAGGCCCAGCTGGCTGAAAGCAGCAGTGCGCTAGAGCATCTGAAAACTCAGCTGTTAAAGATCTGCCCCATGCTTCGCCAAGCCCAGAAAGATGTCATGCAACTGACCTCCACAAACAAGGACCAGAACGTTTCATTGGAGCACATGAAGGAAGAGGCCCTTCAGAATAAGCTTCATGCTGAGAGACACTTTCTGGCAGTGTCAAATGTGGAGGTGGACCTGGAGAGATATCTCCAAATAGAGAGAGAGGAGAACAAGAACCTCCAAGTTGCCCTGGAAAAGGCAGAATGTGTCTCACAGATGCAGTGCCGCCGCTTGGAGCTGGAGATAACCACTCTCCAGGAGCAGGCTGAAAAATCATCAGCTGCCCTTCTCCTTTGTCAGGAGGAAAAAGCATCCCTGCTGACAGAGTTCCAGCAAAGAAAAACCTCCCATGTGACTCAGCTCAGTGAGATTTTGAGAAAGGCTGAGCAGAAGTTGGAGCTTGATCGCATAAGGTCGAAGGACAACAGGTCAACCCTCCTTCAGGCCACAAAAAGCCTCCAGAAGACTCTGCAGGAGAAGGAGCAGGAATTGCAGAAAGCTGAGAGCGCCATGAAGTCGCAGGTCGAGGACGCTGAGAGCCAGATCCCCAAAAAGAGGGAGGGGTGGTTCCCGAAGTTCTTCTAAATCCCGACCGGGCACATGTTGCTGATCTGGGTCTATAAGGCCCACTGAAACACCTTCAGCTTCAATAAATGCAAATTTAAAATGTAATGTTTGTTTGGTATTTAAAATCCTAAATTGCACTAGAGTCTTGTGTGAAAATATTGAATATATGAATCATGGGGAAAGCATTGAACTGAATATAGTTTGGCTTAACTGTTCTAATCTAGATTTTATGTTGGTCGAAATATATATATATTTTTTTCTTACCTTAAGACTCAATAGCATATTGGTTTGTTAACTGTCACATTGCTTTAAGTATGTGAACAGTAATGCAATGCATTTGAGTGAAGATTTTCTGAAGTGAATCTTTTGTATGCGTTTGTTGTTGTATTAGTTGTTGTCGCACTTCAGCATCTTGAAGACAAACTTTTGTTTTCTTTTTTTCACCTGTGTGACTAACAAAAAATGTCCTGGCAAATTGTTAACTTCACCTGATTCACAGATATCTTATTATTTTTAAGGAACTTAGAGAGTTTTTCACTGTAAAAACATGTTTTTACCTTACCTCAAGTCCTAAACACATGGAACAAATCAATGAAGATCAGACTCAAAGGAAAGATCAATAGAAATAAAGGGCTTCCAAACAAACCTGTCCTTTCTCGTGATAAACAAACAGATTCCTGGTGCGTTCCCCATGCACGTAGGATATCTGCAGACCGTGAATGTGACCAATCTTCTCTGGCTGAAAAACTGCATTCAGGTCCTTCATGGAGATGACAACTTTGGGTAGCTT